AATAAAGGTGACTTGACTTGACTTGACAATGGAGGGAGAACCCAGGGAGTAGATGATGAAGGGAGAAACTGTGGAGTGACCCAGATCAGAGCTATTAGGACGAAGACCCATGGCAGAACCAATGGAGGGAGAAGCCAGGGTGGAGCCGGGAGACTGACTGACTGAGGTGGAGCTGGAAGGGGTGGAGACCCAGGCGGCGAAGAGAAGACAAAGACCCAGGGTGACACCGTAGGCCTGGAGGGAGTGAGGACAATAGCAGAACCGGAGGGCAGGAGATTTGAGGCAAAGCCAGAGCGACGAGGGACCCCGGTGGAGCCTAAAGGGATGATGGACCACAGTGGAGCCAAAAGGGATGATGGACAACAGTGGAGCCCAAAGGGATGATGGACAACAGTGGAGCCCAAAGGGATGATGGACCACAGTGGAGCCCATAGGGATGATGGACCACAGTGGAGCCCATAGGGATGATGGACAACAGTGGAGCCCATAGGGATGATGGACCACAGTGGAGCCCATAGGGATGATGGACCACAGTGGAGTCCAAAGGGATGATGGACCACAGTGGAGCCCATAGGGATGATGGACCACAGTGGAGCCCAAAGGGATGATGGACTACAGTGGAGCCCAAGGGGATGATGGACCAAAGTGGAGCCCAAAGGGATGATGGACCAAAGTGGAGCCCAAAGGGATGATGGACCACAGTGGAGCCCAAAGGGATGATGGACCACAGTGGAGCCCAAAGGGATGATGGACAACAGTGGAGCCCAAAGGGATGATGGACTACAGTGGAGCCCAAGGGGATGATGGACCAAAGTGGAGCCCAAAGGGATGATGGACCAAAGTGGAGCCCAAAGGGATGATGGACCACAGTGGAGCCCAAAGGGATGATGGACCACAGTGGAGCCCAAAGGGATGATGGACAACAGTGGAGCCCAAAGGGATGATGGACCACAGTGGAGCCCAAAGGGATGATGGACCACAGTGGAGCCCAAAGGGATGATGGACAACAGTGGAGCCCAAAGGGATGATGGACCACAGTGGAGCCCAAAGGGATGATGGACCACAGTGGAGCCCAAAGGGATGATGGACCACAGTGGAGCCCAAAGGGATGATGGACCACAGTGGAGGCCAAAGGGATGATGGACCACAGTGGAGCCCAAAGGGATGATGGACCACAGTGGAGCCCAAAGGGATGATGGACAACAGTGGAGCCCAAAGGGATGATGGACAACAGTGGAGCCCAAAGGGATGATGGACCACAGTGGAGCCCAAAGGGATGATGGACCAAAGTGGAGCCCAAAGGGATGATGGACCACAGTGGAGCCCAAAGGGATGATGGACCACAGTGGAGCCCGGACCACAGTGGAGCCCATAGGGATGATGGACCACAGTGGAGGCCAAAGGGATGATGGACCACAGTGGAGCCCAAAGGGATGATGGACCACAGTGGAGCCCGGACCACAGTGGAGCCCATAGAGATGATGGACCACAGTGGAGGCCAAAGGGATGATGGACCACAGTGGAGGCCAAAGAGATGATGGACCACAGTGGAGCCCATAGGGACGATGGACCACAGTGGAGGCCAAAGAGATGATGGACCACAGTGGAGCCCAAAGGGATGATGGACCACAGTGGAGGCCAAAGAGATGATGGACCACAGTGGAGGCCAAAGGGATGATGGACCACAGTGGAGCCCATAGGGATGATGGACCACAGTGGAGCCCAAAGGGATGATGGACCACAGTGGAGTCAAGGGAGTATAGAGCCAAGTTGGAGCCGATGGGACGGAGGGCCGAGGTGGAGTCCAGGGCTCAGACGCTTGAGGTAAAGCCAGGGGATCGGCAGGGCAGAGTGGGAGACATGGAAGCCCAAGCCGGATCTGAGCAGCTGGGCGGTGCCACTGAAGGAGGAGCCGAAGGGCTGAAGGGAGCCAGCGGAGGAAGAGTCGAGGAGCTGAATGGCGTTCTCAGAGAAGCAGAGAGTTGGAGGTTGGGCGGGACCAGCGGTCGACAGAGGAGACATGAGGTTGGGTGGAACCAGTGTCGAGGATGGAGACTTGATGTTGGGGGGAACAGCGGCGATGGAGACTTGAGGCTGGGCGGGTTCAGTGGAGGAGGGAGGGCTTGGGATATGTCAGGGACTAGCGAGTCATTAATCCTGATGGGACCAGCATCCGTCCATCTTTCGCACCAATCCAATAAATAGATTTTAGAGTAGGGTCATCAAAGGCAATTAGATTTGCTAACTCACAGAAATGGCTGGAATATTCCAATAAGCGGAGGCCTTCTTGACCAGTTCTTATGAATGCTGCTGCTAGATCCATATTTGTGGTCAATTATTCTGTCAATTATTCTGTCACGTTGTAGCAGGCAAAGAGCAGATGAGGCAGAATCTAGACACAGCAGCTGGTTTATGTAATCCAAATGAAGAAGATAATCCAAGAAGAGGGTATCCAAAAGGTAACAAAACAACGAAACAGAAAGCACATTGGATAGACAATCACCGACTACAGAAGACTAACTCAAGAGGGCTTAAATAGGCCTACACAAGGGCGATAAGATGGCAAGTTGGCAACAAAACGAGATACAGGTGGATGTTAATTAGGGCTGAAACAACAAATCGATTATTATCGATAATAAGAATAATCAACAACGAATTTGATTATCGATTAGTTGCATCTGTGCGCTGTACAAAAAAGCAGAGGACACAGAGTGAGTGCTGTGGGAAAGGTACATGATTCAAGTTGTCCGAAACATGCTTTATATTTAAAAGTGGTTCAAACAAAAACATAAGTGTTATTGTGTCTTGCCCTGTCGTGCTTTGACAGATGCGTGTGCTGTTTAATGCCTCTGACACGTGTTTTTCTCAGCGCATAACTTACATTTTATTGTTATAGTCCCGCGAGTTTATGATTATGAAATATTCATAATCACATATTATGAAAACAAGCATCTTGTTAAACGTCACATATTTTAGTTAACAAGCACCGATGGGTGCATGAGCATTAAACAGAGCGCAGTAGAATAAGAGCACAATAATTCTGATTAAAATACACATTTTGCTAAAACATTTTTTGGAATTTTGGAATATTAATGTAATAAAATGACTATGTTCAGATGAGTGAATGTTTGTGTTCTTCATACCTCACAGAAACTACATTTGGTGCTTTGTTGTTGTTTATTATCATTTGAATTTAGTTGTTTTAATTTCTGCTTTAAAATAGTAAGACATCAGTTGTTTTTAGATTGAGAATGTAATGTTTTAACCCTTTTTTTGCTTATAATGTAGGCCAACAGCATAGCATACATTCACTATATTTGTTTTCATAGGCTTTGTATTACACGTTGTTTGGGAGCATTGGGAAGGATGTGGAATGACATTGTTAAAAATATTAGATTAAAATGAATTTTGATGATCTTTCAGAAATCATTTCAATTTGCTGATTTGCAAGAAACATTTCTTATCAATGTTAAAAACAGTTCTCTAGCTTTATATTTTTGTGGAAACTGTGATGCATATTTATTTTTCAGGGCTCTTAGAAATAGAATAGAATAGAGCAGAATTTTTTTAAATAGAAATATTTTGTGACAATGTAAATGTCTGTCACTTTTGATCAATTTAATGCATCCTTGCTGAATAAAATAAATAACATATCTTTTTAAAATATAAATAATAAATAAAAAAACGTATTGACCCCAATATTTTGAATGCTACTGTGAGCCTAAAAATAAATAAAAAAATAAAAAAATAAATAAAATATGGCATTTAGTGATAGTCGTGGCTGGTATTTGGTACATATAGCCTCGTTTTAACGGATTCATCCAACCTATTTGCATGAATCATAATTTGTGCAATTATTCTTCAACTAAGTGCATAATTATTACTCTCTGATCTTAGTAAATCAGGGCCATCATGTATATACAATCTATATATAGAAAACAGATCTGTATTCCCCACAAAATCGACACTGACACAGACAGTACCCTACCTAGAACACAGACAGCAGCTCAGATCAGAGCTCCACAGTTCATGTGAACATCAGGCATAAGTGGAGTATAAACTGATGTGAAACTACTGCAGTGTCTATAAAGCAACAGAGAAAAACCTACGAGGGAGGATCAAAGAGACGTGGAGCTCTGAGCTGAACAGTTGCCCAAGGCCTTGGTTCATCTTCACATGTGAAGGAACAAAAGCTCACAAGACTCTAACAAATAAGAATTGCACTAAACATGTAAACAAACTAGTGCAAACTGAACTCAAACACATATTAATGATGTGAACAATCTCTTAGATGTGTCAGCCAAAATCTTTTTATAATAAAATCGCCCAAAAAACACTTAAAGTAATCGTTAATTGAAATAAAATACAATATAAAAGACATTTCTCATTTTCATTTAGTTTAACTTGACATACTAAAAGACTAATGAATCAAAATGAATAAAAACTATATTAATATTTTTAAAAAGCAATAACTAATAAAAATGAGAAAAACACAACAAAATTACTAAAAACTTAAAATACAAAAATAAAAACTAACTGAAAAAAAAAGTGGTAACCTGCAATTGATACCTTAAAGAGCTGTGTTTTTACTTGATTTAACCCTTAAAAAAAATTTCTGGTATAAATTAATGCATTTAGGTTGATTCATGAATATTAAATGATATTTTTTACTTGAATAAAAACTTAATTAATTTAGATGTTATCATTTTTTTCATCGAAGTGTCTCAATGACAACTTTCCAGCTGTCATTTTCAAAAGCCTTAGAGGTCTTAAAAGACATACATCAGTGTTATACTGGGGATCGGGTTTTGATATACGTACAAGGAGAGGATGGGAAAACAATTACACACTTAAAATTCTTTAGAAAATCTCATAATGTAGCCCAGAGTTTGTGACCCGGGCACATGAAACTCTGAGATTCCTGAGAGATTGCATAGACTGGACACAAATGTGTGTTTGAGATCAAGCGCTGCGGTATCTCAGCCTCTGAAGGCTGTTACCTGAACACTTGTACATAGACTCGTGGCGGTTCCATCGGCCTCCACAAACGCGGCTCGTACACATACGCCATCCTTACAGAACAGGAACAGTACAGCCAAAGCTGTGAGACCCAATGGTTCTCCACAAGTCAGACAGCAACCGCACAATTTGAACACATTTGTGGGCAGGAATCAGTTTCTGATGTTCAATAAAAACTGCACAGTGTGTTAAAGCACAAAACACATCTACGTTACAGTCGGCTTTTAGCTGAATGTGAGGTGTTGATGTACCTGCGGGTTTGCGGGCACTGCTGTTCATTGCATGTGCGGTTGCTGAGGGGTCGAGGGAGGGAGGCACACAGGTAATCAGAGTAGGCTTCATTATCAATGGTACAGAAGACCAGACGCGACTGGTAACCTAAAATAGAAGGAAGAAAAACATGTCAAATTGCAGAAGTGTTGAAATCCTCTCTAATAAAAATACACCAACCATGAATAAATGCATTACAAAATATGCAAAGAACACTCGATCATAATAACTTCACGTGAGACATAATATTATTAACCCTTCTCAACAGGGGGCTTCAGCAAGACGGCTTAAAATTAAAAAAAAAAAAAAAAAAAAAAGCATTAAAATGAGCTAAAACAGCTAAAAATATAAAAATAAATAAATCAAGATTAAAGATGTATTACTTTTTTGTTAATGAACCATCACAGTCTTGGATATATGAGGGACTTTTAAAAATGAGATTTTTTTTAAAGATGTGATGTTTTTCTGGAAAAGTTATGGAAAGTAATAAAATCGTAAAATGACAAGGACATTTTTTTAATGATTTTTCTTCTACTTATGTAAATCTCTAAAAGATTTTATTGTGTAGAAATTGCTGATAAATTGTCAGTATATATATATATATATATATATATATATATTTTTTTTTTAATGTGCCGATTTATTGGTAATAGAAAGTGTAAGAACTTTGGTTATGGAATTTAAATTATTTATAATTTTTTTAATATATTACCACTCCTAGTTTCTGTAAATAAAAAACGTTTGAAAATGACCAGCTTTGTCATTACAGCAGAAGTACAAGAAAATAGCAGTTTTGTCATTTGACACTTTAAATGATCAAACTCTTTAAAGTCGGATGGATTCTGTTTTGGCAGTCAATGTTTTTAATAATAATCAGCTGGGGGAAAAATCGTTCAGAAAGTGATTCGAATGTATTTGCTCCTCGTTATAGCTGTGATGTGGACTTCCCTATCCTCACTGAATTAAAACAATTATTAAAACATTATAGTTATCATCCTTTATGTGAACACGCCTTAAGGATCTTAGGGCCCAGTCTTTTTCTGCTCTCTTCTTTGTAGATATTCATAAAGACTGTTATTATACGTCATTGGATTATAATGTGCATCTTATTTGAAGCCACAAAGAGTAGTCCTTCCAAGCTGTGATGATACGCTTCTCAGCGGCAATTTCTCCTGATGCCCCTTAGCGAAAACAACCTCCACATTGCCTAGACACTCCTGACGCGGCTGGCCTTTCATCAGAGATGAAATATGCCGGATATTAAGCATCCCCTTCAAGCTCTTCAAACAGTGCCAGGTTTGATCTTAAATGCCTCAGGATATAGCGCTTGGCTCTGCTGTAACGGTTTGCCTTGATACACACCCTACCTGTCCTGTTCAGTTCAGTCCAGTGTGTTGGTGAAACAAATCTTCACTAATGAATGCATTTTTAGCAGAATTCACAAAAAAAAGCGAATGTAAAAAGCCTGGCTGTCTGTTCCTGGACGTAATTCCAAATTCACAGAACTACAGCGACACGCTCGTTAAGACACTATTGGTGCTTTTCCACTGCTGGTACGGCTCAGTACGGCACGGCTCGGCTCGCTTTAGCTCGGTTTGCTTTCCCACTGCAGTTAGTGCTGCTTCAAAGTGGGTGGGATTATAGTCTGACCGTTATAGTTTATCCGCTCCTCGGCGACCAACGAGAGGAACGTCTGCACTTCGTCCACTGACCACCATTCAGCCATTTCTTTTTTGGACGTTTTTTTTTCTTTCTTTTTTCTTCAAGCAAGTAGTTTTAAAACAGGTGCTACAGCGGTGGCTGTTACTGGCTATTTAAATCTAGCGGGTTTGATGTCTCGCAAATACAATGACGCTGGTAGTGACTATTCTGTCTGAGCAATCAGTGATCTGCAGTGTTTTCACGTCACATTTTAGTATCGGTACGGCACGCTTGGAACCTCAACAGAGGTGGTACCATTTAAAGCGAGCCGAACCGTACCGTACCGTACCATGCAGTGGAAAAGCGCCACAAATGAGCCGTACCAAGCCGTACCGTACCATGCAGTGGAAAAGCGCCAAAGCGTGCCGTACCGAACCGTGGCGTACCGTACCATGCAGTGGAAAAGTGCCATAAATGTGAATAGGGTAAAACTACTAATAATACATTTCCGGTCTGTTTTTGGCCAGCTTCTGAATGGTGTGGTTCAGAACCTTCAGTATCACTGATCGACGCCAGGTATTCTTGGGTCTTCCTCTCTTTCGTTTACCCGCTGGTGTCCAGAAAAGGGCAGTCCGAGCAGTGTCATCTTGTTCCCTCCAGGATGACGTGTCCAGTCCATCTTCCATCGCCTTCTTATGATGATGGTGTCCATACTTTCTTGGTTGGACTTGGAAAGTAGAGATGGTTTTGGGCCAAAAGATTTTCAGGATTCTCCTGAGGTTCATTGTGTGGAAGGTTGACAATTTGACACCTTTACATTGTTGAACAATGTGTGGAGGTCCTCACAGTATACCACCCAAACTAAACTGACTAAACTAAACCTTGCGCCGTAACAAAAACAAACAAACAAACAGTTGAGGGAGAGAGTGAGGGCTTTAGAGGAGGTCGAGGAGTTGAAGGGCTGGTGACAAGAAGAGGCAGACAGATAGGTGGTGATGACGGGAGGAGTGGCCAGATCGGGTGCAGACCCAGAGCACAGTTATGGTGCGTTCACACCAGATGCGAGTAGAGCGTCTGGCGCGAGTGATTTCAATGTTAAGTCAATGCAAAGGCGCGTTACGCGCGTAAAAAATTCCTGCGCCGCGAATGAGGCGTAGAGCACGGCAGACGCGAATACGCCTCATTCGCGCAAAAGATTTTATTAAGTGCTTTTTGTGCATTCACGCATTTGACGCGAATTCGCGTCTGCCGCCCGAGTTGAAAAATCTGAACTTTGGCATCAATTCGCGCCGCGTTAACCAATCAGGAGCCTAGCTGCTTGCTGCTGTCACGTGGTGAAGTATCTGGATGCTTCAATAAATTATTTTGTAATATGACTAAATGCCTGGTGCGGTTCTAATGCACAACAAAACAAAAAATGTTATCACATAAAACTTGATTTCAATATATGAGACATTTTCATTTTGTATTGAATGTTATTTATTCCATATCTAGATTATATGAAATATTATTATAGTGTAAAGACAACCAACATAGTGCATAAGTTCGTGTCTGGACAGTGTTGTGTGAGAGAGAAAAAAATCACAGGACAGGTTAATCACTTTTGGAGGCTGGCTCCATTTATCATTAACACAAAAATAAATGACAGATTAGGTGGGTGAGGGCGAGGGTGATCCTCGCTCCGATGCGGGACAACAGGTCATCAAACTGGGCAGAAGTACCGATGAAAGCGGCCGTCATCCAGGCGCAGCTCCTGGAGCGGGCAAATGGTGAAACTCGCCAAACTGGGTTCGCCTCCGAAGGGTCCGGTGGACCCAAATACGGCGACGATGATCCCTACGCCGCCGTTCTGCTCTCCAGAGCAAATACAGAGCGGAGACTCTCTCGATGAATGCTCGATCAACATAAAAAAGATGGCCGCCAACGTGGTTCGATTCCAACGCGTAAATTTTGCTTCAAACTTTTGTTTTTTACGCGCATCAATTTCGCTCTTGACGCCCGAATGGATTCAAAGTGTTCAAGCATATAACTAGACGCGGTAGGCGCGAATTTGACGCGCTATTCGCGTCTGGTGTTAACGCACAGTTAGGACGACAGCCCAAGGCGGAGTCGATGGAAGGAGGAGCCAAGGTGTTGACGTGCCCGACAACATCCATCCTTCAGATGAGACGTTAAACCAAGGTCCTGACTCTCTGTGGTCACAAAAAATCCCAAAAGAGTAAGGGTGTAACCCTGGCATCCTGGCCAAATTTGCCCAGTGGTCTCTGTCCATCATGGCCTCCTAATCATCCCCATATATATATATAGGAGGTGCTCAGGCTTCATCGTCCCTGTGGTTCTGGGTGATGGTGGGCTAAGCTCTGGGTCTGGCTGCGGGGTTTGCCTGGGCGAGGCTGCTGTCATCCTCCGCTTTGCCCACTGTGAACGGTGATCCATCTATATACAGTGCGAAAGTGATGTAAGTCTCTAGGGTCCGGTAGGGATTGCCGCGGGGCAAGATGAAGCGGAGATCTTTGTCCGGTCCACACTGAAATCCCTCCGTTAAGCAGACGTCATCGCAGGCAGCTGCTCAAAAACTCCTACACGTACTCCTCAATACCTCGCTGTTCTGAAAAATAAAAACAGTCCCTCCTTCAAGTTGTTTGTTTCCCCTCTATGGGGAAACATTGATGGAAGCGATCTCCAGTTGCAGGGAACACACGATGAAGATGAAGATTAGGTATACCGTCTTTAAAAATCCACTCAGAAGATAATACAAATGAAGATAATCAAACGAAACCAACTGCTATGCGTAAACGTAACCGGACAAATGAACACTGTAAAGACTGCAACTTAAATACAAAGCAAATGAGGGAAATAATGAATTAATAAATCTCCATAGTTACTAACAAGTGGTGGGAAACTAAACAAAGGAACACATGTGACTGAAAATAACAAACTAAAAGTTCATGAAAGTGAAACTAAGATCAAAATAACAGAATGTTCGTGACATTAAGGTTAGGTAATGCATTAATCAGCGTAACTAATAGACCTAATTGTAAAAAAATGTTACCACTTTATTTGATCAAAAATGCTCTTAAAACAGATATATTGTGAAATATTATTACAATTTAAAAGAACAGTTTTCTATTGTAATACACTGTAAAATGAAACGTATTCATGTGATGCAAAGCTGAATTTTCAGCATCAAAATCTCAAAAAATGCTGTAAAAAAAAAAATGCCGGTAGTTTGAAATGAAACACAGACAAACACTTCTACTTTGATACTGACCTGAGCCACACTCCTTGCTGCAAGCCGACCAGGAGCCATAGCTCCAGTAGTAGCCCTCAGTCAAGCGTCCGTTAGGCAGATAATACTCATACTCCACGCCCTCATTAGCCTCTTGAGTGATTAGCTGTAGATAAACAAACACACTGATGGTCATAGTATTCAAAAATGCCTCAAAAAGTAATAGGTGCATGCAGTATGTTTAAGTTCATTTCACTGGCTTTTGTTTATTGCAGTGGTCTTGGACTTGACTACTGACACAGTTGCTGATCCATACATCACTCTGGATTGAAAATATTACAATACTAATATTAATAGATGTCTTAATTTCTTCATTTTAATATGTCAGACTACTTTTTCATAGTAGCTCATCTTCTGTTTTATGCGTTTCTCATTACAAGTTTGTGAAGATGGTTGGCGCATGTTTAATTCCTAAATGCACGTTAAAGTGACTCAAACTCAGAGCAGATGGAGTTCATGTTTTACGGCTTTATTAGGGCCCAAGCCCAAAGGGCGAAGGCCCTATTGTTTTCCTTAGGATTATTAGGGCCCAAGCCCAAAGGGCGAAGGCCCTATTGTTTTCCTTAGGATTATTAGGGCCCAAGCCCAAAGGGCGAAGGCCCTATTGTTTTCCTTAGGATTATTAGGGCCCAAGCCTTGAAAAGGCGAAGGCCCTATTGTTTTCCTTAGGATTATTAGGGCCCAAGCCCAAAGGGCGAAGGCCCTATTGTTTTCCTTAGGATTATTTATTATTAGGGCCCAAGCCCAAAGGGCGAAGGCCCTATTGTTTTCCTTAGGATTATTAGGGCCCAAGCCTTGAAAAGGCGAAGGCCCTATTGTTTTCCTTAGGATTATTAGGGCCCAAGCCCAAAGGGCGAAGGCCCTATTGTTTTCCTTAGGATTATTTATTATTCTTCTTATTATTTTTCTGCTACCTTTTGGACACTTTTGGAGGCCTTAACATGCTCAAAAACTCCTGAAACTTTGCACACATGTCAGAACCCGCGGCCATCAGGGCCGGGCTGAAGATGGTACCCGGGCGTGGCAGGGGGGCTCGACAGCGCCCCCTGGAACGGGGTCCGAAAACATGGTCCATAAATCAAACACGCTTGCATGTAATAATATGAAACTCGGTACACATGTAGATCTCCTCGTTTCATATATACTTCACACTCTTACTTTTTACCCCAGCCCAACAGGAAGTCGGCTATTTAGGGTTGTTGGTAAAACACACGCAATGGAATGTGAAATACTCCTCCTAGAGAATTCAAACAAACGGCACGAAACTCGGTCAGCATGAAGTCAAGACATTGAGGATGAAAGTTTGCGAGGGGATTTTTGATATCTCGAACGGTTTGGCCGTGGCGAGGAAACAAAATTATGGCGAGAAACGTGAAACAGGAAGTGTGTTATAACTACTGCATACATTAACTAATCTTGATGAAACTTCAGCAGTGTGTTCGTTGTAAGAGCCCGATCACATGGATGTGACTATTGTGAGTCAAAGTTATAGCGCCACCAACTGGCAGCAGGAAGTGTGTCACTTCCTAAATGCTTTGAAATCACCCTCTTATTTTTACCCGATTTGCTTCAAACTTTATGTGTATAATGTAAACACACGGCAGATGTAGACCTGTGAAAGGATTATTGATATCTTAGATACTGTTGCCGTGGCAACACATCAAACTTTAATATTCTTGTTTGATGCTTTTGAGACTCTTAGCATGCTTGAAATTGCATGAAACTCGACAGACACAGGTATGCATATGGTTCAGATCAAGCCGGACAACTTTCTAATTAACTGTCATTAGCTCAGACCAAGAGGAAGTCAGATATTTTGGTTTGAATGTGGATGTTTCTGAGAATTTTCTCTCCCTCTCCCTCTGACAGAGAGAATGCACCCTGCCATTCGTGTGTGTCTGTGTGGGGAGGGGGGGGAGGGGCTCTTTTAGTTTAAACACAAAATTATACATAGGGCCATACTGCCCTCTTGTGTCCAAAATTATATTTATATATACATTATACATATATTTGGTATGTGACTGAGGACCGAGAGCTTTTAAATACGGGACATTGATAATGGCCACGTGCAGAGCGCTCGAGGGAATTCCTATGGAAGTTCTGCTCGCTCATCGCCGTGGACGCGCACCGTTATGAATGCCCGTGCAGCCGTTAGTTTCATTTTAAAATTAGCGCCTTTTCTGGGGCCGATTGCTTGAATTGTGAGTTCAATAGCCTATTATTCTTCATGGAAACCACAACAACAAAAGAGTATAAAAGTTTGGTGTGAACGCAGCATAATGAACAAGCTGCGATCTCAAGATTGCAATGCTGGAGTGTGTGTGTGTGTGTGTGTGCGTGTGAGAGAGAGGCGCGGGCGAACTGTGTGTGTGTGTGTGTCTGTGTGGGGAGGGGCTCTTCGATTGATAGTTATTGTACAAAATTATACATAGGGCCATACTGCCCTCTTGTGTCCAAAATGATATTTATACATATATTTGGCAAGCATGTGACTAAGGACCGAGAGCTTTTAAATACGGACGTCCACACGGACATTGATAAGGGTTGCGCTTGCAGAGCGCTTGAGGGAATTCCTATGGAAGTAGGAATGAACTAAAAAACGTTCGCTCTGTTCTGCTCGCTCGTCGCCATGGACGCGCACCATTATGAATGCCAGTGCAGCCGCATACTTTTTAGTGTCACTTTAAAATTAGTGCAATAACGGGGCCGATTGCTTGAATTGTGAGTTCAATAGTCAATTATTTTTCACGGAAAACACAACAACAAAAGAGTACAATGATAGATTCGCTTAAATAGGGGCTTTTACATAAAATAGCCTATTCCGTCATCATCTTTTCAGTCAGCTCTTCACTCTCGTGATTAATGAAATTTGACTCCTGTTGCTGATATTTGCTGCAACTTTCGTTCCGCTCACAATTTAGTAAGCAAACACGCTTCAAATGTGTTTTTATTTTATTTTTGTGTATATATATGTGTGTATATATATATATATATATATATATATATATATATATATATATATATATATAGCTTATGTTTCAAATATGAGTTAATTAACAATCGTTGGAAAGAATGATACTTTTAATATCACTAAACCGTCATTAGGTGTCGCTAGGCGACCGTCTTAATGAGCGAGTCATTGATTCATTCGTTCAAACGATTCGTTCGAACGGCTGAGTCATTCATGAATGAGACAGATTATGGATTGGTCGTTGAATCTTTGAGTCAACCGATTCGTTCAAAATGCTGAATCAGTAATGAGAACGCGTTGCTGTGAGATGCTCGATGGTTCTGCTGTGATCTTTGTTTAACTATTTTCGCTGCTGAAACAGAAAAAAAAGTCAATATTGCATCTAAAATGTAAGTGATTTGACGTGTGTGTGTGTGTGTGTGTGTGTGTGTGTGTGTGTGTGTGTGTGTGTGTGTGTGTGTGTGTGTGTGTGAGATTGTGTCTGTTACAGTGATTGTTTAACCCTTGTTAAAGTTTAGGCCTTGTCTTTTTGGATATATATCTTTTTATATAAAAAAAAATAGCATACAACCCATGTATTTTAAATGTATTGTTTGCTTTAAATTACATTAAGATTGTATGTTTGGTAATTGAACCTGAATGAATTATAAATGAATGTGCTATATTTCAGATCATATATTTGTTTTCCTTAAAATTTGAACTAACACTAACTTTATTCTCATCTGAATGATAGATTATTTATTTATGTATAAAATAAAAACACATTTGATTTTTCTTTTTTAATCAATGTAGAATGTGTAACTGAAAAAATAAACAGATTAGGGCTCTGATCGAGGACAATAAATGAAAACCAATGCAATATGATGAATGTCCAAAAGATTTTTTTTGCTTTTAAACTATGTGTGTGTGTGTGTGTGTGTGTGTGTGTGTGTGTGTGTGTGTGTGTGTGTGTGTGTGTGTGTGTGTGTGTGTAAGAGATTTCGGTTGGGTGACAGTTGTAGTTTACAGTTTGACAAAAGCACAATGTTGTGTTTTATTGTGATTGTACACAAATATAAGTAAACACTTTGCAGTTTGAATAATGTCCTGTATGAACAAAAGGACGGGGTATGTTTTTATGTCTACATTGTTCAATCACGCCTCACACACACACACACACACACACACACACACACACACACACACACACACACACACACACACACACACACACACACACACACACACACACACACACCAACTATTTTTCTAATCAGATCAGGCAAGTAATATTCTGTCTTGGCACACTTCATATAACTTTCAAACTTGTGTACTTATTTCATGTGTGCATTAAGTCCATGAGACCGTAGGGTGTCTCATTTTTCATTTTAGGTTTCAGAAGGTTGCTCACGCATACTTTGTGGTTGATATGTGCCCTCAATGCACACTTTTGCAGAGCCCACACCAATGCAAGCTCTACAGCACACATCTTCTCAAAGGTCAAAGCGGAGTTACGATATTGCCCGTCATGCACAGTAACCCTAAAGGCACCGGGGTGGCGGTGCCACCGGCTTGTTTATATATATATATATATATATATATATATATATATATATATATAAATATAGCTGCGAGCAGCGATGAAGGGCCAAAGCCGGCGGCACCGCCACTCCGGTGCCTTTAGGTAACTAAAGGCACCGGGGTTGCGGTGCCACCGGCTTGGGCCCGTAATCGCTGCTCGCAGCTATATTTTTTTTTTTTTTTCTCCTCTTTTATTTTTCTTACGACTATTCGGGCACTTTTGGGGCTCTTAACGTGCACGAAAACTCTTGAAACTTTGCACACGGGTCAGAACCCGCGGCCATCAGGGTCGGGGTGAAGATGGTACCCGGGCGTGGCAGGGGGGCTCGACAGCGCCCCCTGGAATGGGCTCCGAAAACTTGGTCCATAAATCAAACACGCTTGTATGTAAGAATATGAAACTCGGTACACATATAGACCTCATCGGTTCATATATACTTCATGCTCTTACTTTTTACCCCAGCCCAACAGGAAGTCGGCTATTTAGGGTTGTTTGTAAAACGCATGCAATGGAATTTAAAGTACTTCTCCTAGAGAATTCAAAGAAATGCCACGAAACTCGGTCAGCATGAACT